TTTTAAAGAAGGCTAGGCATTTTTTCCCATATCACATTCTTTGGTGGGATTATGATTAAGCAAACATACTTTTGCTATAACAATCTACTACATTACTGGTAGTCTCGATACTCTGTTTATACACTAAAAATAATTAATGTAATCAATTTCCATCGCAAAAATACCCTTGCTTCATTGGCATTCCCAACATAGAATGTGATATTGGAAATAGCCTGACCTTCCTTTAAAATTACATTTCCTTCTTGACTCAAAGGCACTCGTGGCTATATGGCATAGTGGTTAATGTATCGAGCTTACACGCTGCAGTTTCCTGCTTCGATACTCGCTTGAGGTATTGATAAGATTTTTGCGAGGTCAAAACTGCATTCCACTTCTGCCTAGATGAAAACAATTTTTGGGAAAACAATAATATTTGAAAATAAATGGAAAATAGCAGCTTTACTCATATAATTGTAGAAAAATTCAATTACCTTTCCTATATCACTTTTAATGAAATAGACTGAACTTGATATAACGTGTTTCTGCCTTTCATGGCATAAAATGTCCAGTAGTAAGGAATAACTATACATTTATCTTAACTTTTTTGAACCTATATGGATAAGCTTTTCTAGCAATATGCCATGATCTTGTTTAAATTTACGTTTAATAATTTTTGAAATAAAGAAAAATTCTAAATATGACATAAAACTTCTCTACCAAGGCTAGTTTTTCGAAGGAGATTAGTGTTTATCATTTTCGTTATGCCTCTATATTTAAGGTTTTGTACAAAGTCTAGTGTTTAATATGTACAAGTCTTTTATTTTTCCGTAACCTTAGCATCACTATTAATTATTAGACATTAATCAACGGTTACAAGAATTTTGAAGTATTATTACCTTCTTATTAATTCAGAAAATAGTATAACTTCTAAACAATATATTTTTAGAGATCTTATGTGTAGTTGACTTTCTGTATTTCCTAAAAGCTTTTTTATAGGCCACATGACCACAATACATACTTGGGTCATTTCTTTATTCCAACCAGTAAAAGATTCCCATTTGATTATCTTACATTTTACTCTTTAAATAGCCTTACGTTTTAAATGGTCTTTTAATATTAACAAGCTCAATAATAAGTAGCACCGTTGCTCCCTTGGTCTCATCGAGTATGCCTTTTATCTAATCTAGTATAACTATGAAACTGAGCATACTTCAGTACAGGGACAAAGAGCAAATCGCTTAGAACGATAATTTGGAGTGTTAAAATGGATGATAAATGTATTTCTTATGAGGAACTCAAAATTATATATAAAGACAAGTGATTGAATGTAAGGCAAGTGGAATATCAACTGAGCATCCCCTTCAGAACTTCTTATTATAAATGTCATAACAAGATACTTAAAAGACCATTTAAAATTCATAAAAATATTTATTTTATATTATTTATAAAAGTCTTGCTTTCCATACACAGTATATGCAAAGAATATAATGTGTTATCGGCGGCTCTATTGAATTTTCCTGCCCGCTTTGCATCATGCCAGGAGACCAATTCCGCTTCGATGAGAGCGGGGATAACTTTTATTGCTTTATGGTCGCTTCGTATACGGTCATATTGCTTCCTTTTACCTACTTTTTTTGGCCCTCAGGTGAAACTAAAGGTTCTCTTTCCTATTATGTTACCATTGATGTAGATGTCTCTGAACAAAATAGAAGAAAATGCCTTTGTCAGGCGTGCCAGGTAAAAAGACACGTGATTAGATCTCAGAATCCGGGCAAAAAACTTAAAAGGCTTTTTCTGTAATACATTTTTTATATCATCCATAAACCTTTTTCAGGAAATTCCTTTTTATTTTTGCTTGGGCCTTATTTGCCTATTTATTATATCAACTTTCCAAGTTGGAATCCTCATGCCCTGCGTTTGACCCATTTTCTGAGCTCGAGATAGATAAAAGTGCTTCTTTATCTGAAATCCGAAAAGCCTACAAATCGTTATCTCTCAAGTACCACCCTGATAAAAGTGGCGACGAGAGGAAGTTTATTCAAATATCAAGAGCATATGCTGCGTATGTTTTTTTTATATATTATTATTATAAATTTTATAAATAAATGAGAAATTGTCACTAATTTACTATTCTATG